TTATAGAAATACTTGAATAAAGAAAAGTGATATATACACAAGTTAATTCACTGCAGCCTTGGTTGTAATGGCCCCAAACTGGAAAAAAACAAAACTTCCAAAAATAGGGGACTGGTACATTCAAAGAGTGGAATACTACACTGTTTTAATTTTCTGTAGAGACTAATTCTTTCTTTGTTGCCCAGGTTGGACTCAAACACCTCGGCCTCCCAATCCCAAAGGGCTGGGATTATAGGCGTGAGCTACCACACCTGGCCTTTAGTTCTTTATTTTATTTTTTTTGTTCCCACACTACTCCAATGTAGATGCATTGGCTTTTGAATCATGTGAATGAATAACATAGTCAGAAAATAACTTAAAATAAAGAAAATTGACTTAGCTATTCATGAACTTATACTCTTTCATATAAATTTAGAATAAATTTGTTGAATTACTAAAACAACAGGTGGGCTAGGTGTGGTAGCTTGCACCTGTAATCCCAGCTACTAGGGAGGCCCAAGTGGGAGGATGAGTTGAGGCTGGGAGTTTGAGGCCAGTCTGAGCAACATCTGAGTAAGACTTCTATCTCTAAAAAAAATTAAAAGTAAAAAAAATTAGCCAGGATGGTGATATGCACCTGTAGTCTCAGCTACCCAGGAGGCTGTCTGAGGAGGATTGCTTGAGCCTAGGAGTGTGTGACCAGCCTAGGTGATATAGCAGGACCCACCTCAAAATAAATAAGTAAGTAAAATCCAACAAAACAGCTGGAATTTTGTTTTTGTTTTGTTTTGTTTTTTTGAGACAGCATCTCACCCTGTCTCCCAGGCTAGAGTACAGTGGCATGATCTCAGCTCACTGCAACCTCCGCCTCCCGGGTTCAAGCGATTCTCCTGCCCCAGCCTCCAGAGTAGCTGGGATGACAAGTGCCCACCACCACACCCAGCTAATTTTTTATATCTTTAGTAGACATGAGGTTTCACCATGTTGGCCAGGCTGGTCTCAAACTCCTGGCCTCGAGTGACCTGCCCGCCTTAGCCTCCCAAAGTGCTAGGATTACAGGAGTGAGCCACTGGGCCCGGCTACAACAGCTAGAATTTTGACTTGGATAAAACTCTTTGCTCTTTACTCCTCTGCTCCTTCCATCAAGTGTCAAAAATGCAATAGAGATATTAGGGCCTGAAGCCAGGATAAGGCCCTAGTTGGGTGGCAACCAGGACTGGAAAACAGTTAAACCAAGAAAATCTCCAAGTTGTATATGCTGGCTGTTGGTTTTCTTTTAAACACTGGCCACTTAGAACCATCTATGCCACTTTTTTCTATGTTTGCCTTACTGTTTTCTTAAGGAGTTGCATCTCTGGAGAAGAGGGGGAAAGAATCATTGAATATAAAATCTTTAAAACATCTGTCCGTGAGCAATGACTACTTAAAACACCAGTGGCAGGCAAAGTCTCATCACCCACCTGGTGGCAGGTTATCTCAACTGCAGGCCCAGTGCTTTAGGACAACTACCTTTGTCAAGCTGAACTTACAAATCAGAACCCAAGAAGGGTGGTAGGGCCTGCCTCAAAAACTTGTTTGCGTTCTTTATTTTTCTAAACATCAGTTCAGCCTCTTGGCCTGAAGGATCATAGATTCCAAATTAGTAGACTCAAAATTAATGAGATTTTCCAGTAACAAGCTTGAGACTAAAATTATGGAAAACGCACTAATTATAGACTATCTAGCCACCTAACCACCACTTGGATCCAAGCCTCTGGGAGGAGAGGAGGAGGGAAGAGGACGGTCCTCGATGAGACCTGTGCTGGACTGTCCTTCCTCTAGGTGCTGCTGCCCATTTCCCTGGCCTGAGGCCTCCCAGCACCCAGTGCTTCCTGCCTCAGGGCTCCCATCCCAACCCAGGCCAAGCTGGGCCCCCCTTCTGAGACCTGTGTAAGCCTTCAGGCCAGATTCCTGGAGACTATAAAATAGGGCCCACGTGGAGGTAGGGGAATGCTTTCTCTTCAGTTCTGGGAAGCAGTATGAGGTGGGGGTGTGGAGTGGGCAGTGCTGGGAGAAGGAAGAGGGGTAGAAAAGGCAGACAAAATGCCCATTATACCCAAGCCTGTCGATTTCCTTTTTTCATGTCTTTATCAGTGTTTGTGACTAAGCTTCTTATCAACAGGAAACGCCTGCCTGAGGGGACGAGGCAGGTCCTGGGGGCTGGACATAGGACAGGGAATTCTGGGTAGTGCGTGGTGGCTAGGCAGCCAGACTGAGTGGTCTCTCCTTTCCCAGGACCCAATAAGGTTCTCAGGCTCCTTGCCTTGGCATCTGGTGGATCCTTTGATATACACAGGAAGACAGCACACCAGACATGCCCCAAAGCCAGAGGGTCTACAGGAGGGAGCCCTGGGTGGGGCTCCAGCCCCGACCCTCTGTGATCAAGGAAGGTCGCCAAACAGCTCAAGCTATAATATGGGAATTGTCTTTGCCCCTCGTCTCCACCAATCACCAGTCCCCCTCCTTTCCAGATGAAGAGGCCAAGCAACTGGCCAAGGTCGCAGATAACTTAGTGACAGTTACATCAACTGGCTCTTGTAAGTCTGTTTCTGCATCTGAGCCTTCAGAGGCTGGTGTGTGTGTCGAGCATCCAGGTGTGGGACAATGAGGTACTTGGTACCTCTAGATGAAGAAGAGGAGGGGACTGCAGCACTGACTGACCTCCTACTGTGTGCCAGGTGCTCCAAAAATATTGATCATGAGACTAGGATCCTTATCTTTCAGATAAGGCTCCCAGGAGAGGAACAGACTGCAGGTCAGATTTCCCAAGAGGTGAAGATCTAATCTTAGCATTGAAAATAAATGCCCATGAGGGATGTCTGGGCCAAGCAAGGCTTTATGGGTGGCTGAAAGAAACAGGTTTATCTATCTAGACATCTTTCTTCAAACCAGCAGAAGACTGAATAGAGAAACAGGAACTGGCTGTTCTCCTGGTAGGAGAGGTGGGAAGGGTTTGTGCAGAACAGAAGATGGGTTACCTGGCTTCCTGTTCCTTACCCTCTGCCTATTAGTTGCCCTTGAGCAACCAGATTCTGTTTCTGGTGATGCTGGTAATAAGGAAATTCCCTTTATTTCCCTGCCCATGTGTCTCCCTGGACAACCCCACTCTCCCCCTGCCTCACCATTCGCTCCTGCAGCTGGGGATGTAGGTCAGTAAGAGTGGGTGGGTGAGAAAGAACAGAGAAGAGACTCATCCAGACATGACACCCTGCAGGGCAGCAGTGACAACACTTTAACCTGAAAACTGCCTGAAAATAGACTGTGTGTCTATGACATTATGCAAATCATATGCAAAGTCAAGAAGCCCTCTGTCTCTATTTCGAGCAAACTGAATGTGGCCCTGGTGGAAGCAGCTCATTCCAAGAGTCGCCCACCCAGAGTGACGATTGCACAGCTAGCATCAGTCCCAGCCCTGGGAGACTGGACACAGGACGTGCAGCCCCCACTCCACCCCCAGGACAGGGACTTCTAGGTGTGAGGACTTTGCCATCTCTTGGGCTGTTGATCATAATGTTGGTGAGGATATGGAGGAAACAGCACCCTTCTTGGAGGCTGGTGCAAGGCAGGACTGAGGGAGGATGGTGCCTTGGAGGGTGGAGAGAACTGTTGGTGAGGCCTTGGCAGGGGAAGGGGTGGCCCTCCACATCAAGGCTCATGCTCCAGGAGCTACCCTCAGCCCCACTGTGGCATGCTATGGCACCTATCACCCCTCAGGGTGATACCACACAGATGGTCCTCTCCCTCTTTGTCTAGATAGGGAAACTGGGGCCTGGGGTCCCCGAGGAAGTCAGGGCAAAGCTGCAGAGAAGCAAAGTGAGCAGTGGGTTTTTTTCCTCCAAAGGCAGGCAGGTTCCCTGAGGTCTACTTGTAGGCAGGGGCTTGGACGGGGTGACTTCCCAAGGGCTCTTCGCAAGAACCGGAGAGCAGTGAGCCAGTATTGCCACGGATCCTGCTCAGCGTTCACGTACCCCCTTCTCTGCAATTTCCCCACTGCCCTTCTCCCAACTCTCCAACCATAGTCTGGACAGCGTGGGGAGGACATAAGGACAGAGTCTGGCAGGCACAGGGGGAGGGGAAAGGCTGCCTTTGCCGGATGCTAGCAACGCTCCTATTTCCTCAAAGCTGGTCTGAGGCCGGGTGCCCCAATCCTCGGGGAAGACACTGTGTTGTGTGGGTATCCATGAACCCAGGGTAGGAGGTTCCAGGCATGAGGCTGCCTTGGGGGTGCAAGGGGCCACAAAGTCATCTGTGGTGTCAGGTGTACCCTCCCCATGTTTCCCGAAGAGGGCATCCAGCACAAAGGCACAGATTTTCTAGGCTGGGCAGTCCCACAGGCCAGGACCCTCTCAGCTTCTTTTAGTACCTGCCTCCGCCATGGCATGTCCCCGCCCCGAATTTCCGGGGGTGAGAATGGGATGTGTGTGTGAAGTGCTTTCTGATCCCAGGACAAGGTAGGTCCCCAGGGAAGGGGATCTTCCCATGCTGGGAATGGGGACTGACTCCTGGCAAGATGGGGACCCCATTTGAGAAGGGAAGTGAGAACAAGGAATTGAGGGGGCGTCCAAATTGCCAGTTTGGAAGCAGAAAGCTCTTTGCTGGGTGTGTTGTTCGGGGGACAGTCCCTGCAGAACAGCAGGTCAGCGAGCACACGGACGCTGGCGCCGGGGGCGGGGAAGGCTGTCCCACCCGGCCGGGAAAGGCCCGCGGTCCCTGTGTGGGGACGGGCGGCGGCCGCTGGGCAGCCCTCCGCCAGCAGAGGGCGACGTGGCAGGTGCGGCGACCAGGCTGCTCCCAATCTGGGGTAGGAACTGAGATTTGGGCCCCCGCGGGGGTCTGAGCAGGGGCGTGAGGAAACTGTGACCTGTGTAAGGGCAAAGCTGGGCGTGTATCGTGGGCCCCTCTCCTCCCCCGATCCCTCTGGTTCTATCTGGACCTCTGGGACGGGCCACTGCAGAGGCGTCGGCCTGGGAAGACTCTGGAGCTCAGGATTTAACCATGGTTTATTGCAGACCTATTGTGTGCCAGGCACGAGCCCAGTGCTCCCACAAACAGTGTCTCCAGGTAGGAGAAGTGTAATTTCGACCCTGCCACACCTTCCTGCACTCAGACAGAAGCATGTGCAGACTGCTCTCAGCAAGGCCACCTCCTTCGCTCTCTGGCCATTGGGCCCCTTCTCTCTACCTGTCTCCTGTCACTCCACTTCCTGCCCCAGGCCTTCTCTTAGGGATTTTCCAGCCTTTGGGGAGCTACTGCTTTCAGGTTCTGGCTGTGGGGTCTCAGCAGGATTTTGTCCCAAAACCCAGTAGAAATAAAATCCTTCAAGAGGGAGATGATTCGTGGGCTGAGTGGATTCCAGTGACCAGAGGACATGCAAACTCTGCCCTAATGATCTGGGAACCTAGCCCATCCATTTAGCTTTCTGTTTTCACCCAGTTTCACTTCCTGGTTCTCCTCTGAGCCTTGCACAATGCTGGGAGACAGGCCTAGAAAAGTGCCACCGTGAGGATGGTGGAAGACACACATAAGATGCCAGACTGGGGAGGCTACTCTGGGTCATTACAGCAGGAGCGGGGAGAGCTTTCTTCACTTCCCTATCCCTGGTTTGAAGACTACTAGGCCAGATCTTCCCAATCTTAGGGCTGTCCTTGTCCGTAGCCTGAGTCTCCACCCCTGCTCCTTATATTCCTCAAGCTCCCCTCCAACCCACTTCCCTGCACCCAGGGGCCAGGGCAACCTGCTCCATACGTGAGCATACATACATCCTTGACATTTCCAAATGCCAGACTCTCTGTGTGATTCTCTAGAGCTATTGAATTCACCTGAGACACACTCTCTAGGCCTGGCCAGGGCTGTGGGCCTGAGCCAGGGGCCAGTAGGGGAGCTGGAGGCTTCTTGGATGGAGCCAAATTTCTTTTGACCTTGGAAGACTTAGAGGAAACCTCCCTGCAGTCCTAGGGCACAGTAGACTATGCCACAGAGAGGACCGAGGGGCTGGCTTGTGGTCAAAAGGCCCAGAGCTGTCTGAGCCCAAGGGTGGCCACTGGCATGGTTTTAGGTAAGAATTGGAGCTTGGAGACTTAGACTAGGAGGTGCTCCAGACACTCCTTGAGTCAGGTAAAGTTATTTTCAAACCCCCATCTTGAGGCAAATTGGCAGGGGCTGGAGCATAAGTAATAGATGAGACTGAGGAAGTTAGCTCTGATATAGGCTGAAACGTCAGAGAACTAGAGCTAAAGAAGCCTCAAAGGACATCAGGACCAAATCTTCCAATATGTAGATAAGAAACAAAGGTCCTGGCCGGGCACGATGTCTCACACCTGTAACCCCAACACTTTGGGAGGCTGAACACCTGAGGTCAGGAGTTCACGACCAGCATGGCCAACATGGTGAAATCCCATCTCTACTAAATATACAAAATTAGCCAGGCGTGGTGGCACGTGCCTGTAATCCCAGCTACTTGGGAGTCTGAGGCAGGAGAATCATTTGAACCTGGGAGGTAGAGGTTGCAGTGAGCTGGGATCATGCCACTGCACTCTAGCCTGGGCAACAAGAGCGAAACTCTGTGTCCAAAAAAAAAAAGAAAGAAAAAGAAAAAAGAAAAGAAAAGGTCCTGATACAGGCCTGCTTTTGTCACATGGAACAAATACCTGGGGTCAGACCTGGGTCTCCTGACACCCACCGACCTTCTCTCTGCCACGCTTGGCCTCGACATCCTCTCAGTTAATCTGAAAGTCCTGGGGCTTACCCATCTGACCTGCCCCTTCTCCACTGGCCTGTGATCCTGCCACATCCTCAGTAGGACCTCTTAGGTTTTAATGCCCTAGTAACTCAGGCCCCAGCTCTCCCAGGCAGCTGACATTCAGCAAGCTGTGCTCTTGTTGAGGAGACAGAAAGCCCAAGGCATCATGGAACTGAGATACAAACCCACAGAGAGAAACTGATGGGCCCTGGCTCTCTGGAGCTTGTGCCAGAGGCTGAGGCCTGGCAGGGAAGTGTGTGCCGAGGGCTGGACAGGGCCCTGTGCCACCCTGGCAGCTCTGGTGGAGCAGTGGGGTTGATCAAGGGCAGGGGGCAAAGTGCAGGCCCAGGCTCTGAGTCTGGGACTGGGATTCCCTGGCTTGGCACTCTGACTCTGGAGCCTCTTTTGCATCCTGTCCTGGGAGTGGTAGGGGTGCACCCTGCTGGCCGTAGCGGGTGGGGAGAGAGCCAGGCGTCAGGGAGCCTGCCGCTTTGAGCAGGCTAGACGGCAGGGGATCAGATTTCCGCCCAGCTGTATTTTTGGCTGGGTGGGCTGGGGGCCGAGCAGGCGGGCGCAGCTGCCCGTCCCCAGCACACACCACACTCACACTACCTCTACCCAGATAGGGCACCATCCACTACCCCCCACCCCCCACCCCCCTGCAGGCAGAGAGGAGTCAGGTGCTCCTGGGCTACTGAATCACTTTGGGCTTCTCTGGACTGTTGCTAATTTTCTGTAGTGTCTTCTTGATCCGCAGCGCGGTGAGTCGGGCAGAGGGGTTTGGGTACCAGCACTCCCGCATCATCTGAGCTAGGCCTGAGAGGACCTGGGGGTTGGGAGAGAGGTGCAGAGGAGAGGAGGGGGTTGGGAGAGAGATGCAGAGGGAGGTGGGTCAGAGAAGATGGAAAGAAGGAGATGAGGAGGATAGCCAGTAATGGGGAGACATAAGCCAGAGAGAAAGGATGAGAGGAGGGAAATGAGAGCATTGGACAGGAGAGCGAGAGGAAAGACAAGCAGTGAAAGGGAGAACAGAGGATGACAAAAAATAAAAAATGGAAGAGGAAGAGAGTAGAGTGAGAAAGGGATGGAGAAAGACAGGGAGGACAGAAAGAGAGAACTCAGATCTTCAGGAGCACTCAAGCCCCCTTGGGCGAGCAGTGTCTGTGAAACACCTTACCCCCATCCCCACCTTTGCCAAGATCCACAGGAAGGGGCAGATTCTTCAAGCCTGGGGGCTTCCACATCCCCATCCACAGGCTAAGACCCCGGTGCAGAGGGCAGTGTCTCCCAGCCCCTCCATCAGCCATGGCTGGGCCCAGGGGACTGTGGAAGTTTGAGAAGTGGGAACTACCCTAAAAATGCAAGTGTCCAGGGAGCAACCCATCCCAAGAAGCTCACCAACCCATCCCAGGGAGCTCATCAACCCATCCCAGGGCCTGGAATGAGCTGGCCCCACTTCTGGCTCCTGAAAGTGTGTGTGTGTGTGTGTGTGTGTGTACAGGAATGCATACATGTGACTTTTTGTGGATATGTATGTATGTTGTACAGAAATGTATGTCTATGTATACATACATGTATACATGTATAGAATATATTCATTATTTCAATAAATATTTATTAGCACCTGTTGTGAGCCAAATATTATGATAGGTAACAGGGATATAAGGGTGAGCAAAAGACATGTTCTTTGTCCTCACGGGGCCAACAGTCTGGCGTATATGTGCATGTGTATATATCTGTGAGTGTATGTTCAGAAGGATATTCGCGCCATGTGATTAGACTAGTGAGGGCTTGCGAAGACAGTCCCAGGCACTGGGTGGAAGGCAACTGAGGGAAGGAAAAGACTGGGGACAAGGCTGGGCCATATTTGGAATCCCGAGATGGATTTGAGTCTTGCTTCTGCATTACTGCTGTGCGAAGTTGGCCCCACTTTTCTGAGCATTCAAGATTTCTGTTCATCTGGTAACATGGATGTATACTAGTAGCCCCATAGGGCTATTGTGAGGACAAATACGGATAAAACACGTGTAAAGTCATTTACAGCAGAACTACTGGCACCATGCCAAGTGCAAACACAAGCGGCAGTCATTAGTTATTTAAGTTAGTAACCCATTTATTGCATTATACTAGACCCTCCCTCTCAGGGACAGTCCCAGGCCCACTGGGTGTTCTGGGTGTTGGATGGGAGGGTGAGCAAAGGCTCTCTCCTCTGGGTGGTATTGGCCTCCTTGGGGTCCCAAGCTGATTGTCCCCTCCCATTGGATCCATATTTGCAGGGCATCGTGGAGGCTAATGCCCTGACGCCTTACTATCATGTGAGTGCCAATGACGCCAGCTTTGAGGACATGAAAGGTGGTGTGTGTGTGATCAGCAGACCCCCACCATCCCTAACCGGCTGGCTGCAGACCCGGTGGGCTTCTACTGGGACTCAGGATGGCATGGGGTGGTGGCTACGGCTGGGATTTCTGGCCAAGAACTTGTGTCCTGAGGCCTTGCTTCATCTCAGGTAGATAGTGGATGTCCTGGTTAGGGCACCTCTACGTATTACTCCCTCTTTCAACCCTGGCCCATGCTCCTGCCCCAGGGGCCATCTGGTCATTCTGAGAATTTAAGAACCTTCACCTTCCTTGTGAAAGTCAGAGGCTCTCTGTGGCTCTGTGGTGTGGTGTGTGTGTGTGTGTGTGTGTGTGTGTGGGTGTGTGTTGAGAGACAGGGTTTTGTTTTGTCTCTTGTCACCCAGGCTGCGGGTACAGTGACCCAATCATAGCTCACTGTACCCTCCAAACTCCTGGGGCTCAACTGATCCTCCTACCTCAGCCTCCCCAGTAGCTAGGTGTAGTGCACACACCACCACCCCGCTAATTTTTAAAATTTTTTTGTGAGGCAAGGTCTTTTATGTGCTCAGGCTATCTCAAACTCTTGGGCTCAAGTATCCTCCTGCCTCAGCCTCCCAAAGTGCTGGTGGTGAGCCTCCACACTACCTCCACATCTGACCACTGGTGGCATTTTTGTTGCTGTTTGTCTTGTTTGTTGCTGTTCTGCTGTTGTTTGTCCTTGTTTTTTCTCAAACACACTTCACTTATAACAAAGACACACACACATACTATCAACACATACACAGCAT